CTGTTCATTTTCCACACCAAGTATACATTTTCATGTTTATACCCTAGAGATAAGAGCTGCCTTGTTTTGTCTTATTAGAGCAATTAATGTAGTACTATTTTCTCAACATGAATTGGGGTGTCTTCCGTAAGCATGCGTGTTGCCTATAGCAGATAGAGACAGGGAAGTAGGTTAAAGCTTGAAGAAAAATACATCCCCAGACATCAGAAGTTTTCCATGTCCTATGTGGTTAATAGATGTCACCTGTACTAAGGAAAAAGAGGAAAAGTTTGGGGAGCGGGGGGTCTTCCAGGGTGTTTTGAGAGGGACAAAATAGTAAACAAAAAATGCAAATATTTTAATAAGACATTTTGTTGCTTCATTTTTGGTTTTATTTGCATGGATTTTTTTGTCCTAGAAACGCAGAGATACAAATGAATACAGAACTATTAGCTGAAAGAGAAATGAGATGTCTTTGATGAAGACATGTTTTTTTTCCAGCAGTCTGTCAGGCATTTAAGCAAAACAGAAAAACAGAACAGGAGATGATAGTTAAAATCTTTTCCCTGCTTAATTGCTCATGTTTTTACTTTAATAATTCTACAAGGGATTTTATTGCTTATTTCCAATAAGCTCAGGTAGACAAAACATAATTTTCTAGTGAGAAAGTAAGGAGAGAAAAAAACCTTTTTCAGTAGCTGGGAAATGGTCCTTATATGTTATGGGAAAAAAAAAAGAAAAGAATGCTTACCCATTAAAAATGTTGCAGGTAAGCTTTAAAGTATTCCCAACAGCATCGTTTAAACTAGATTCTGAAAAACTTTCCCTTAGCTTTGGAGAACCTTAGGAATGTTCTCAGCAATTGAAATGTTTCCCTTCCATGCACTTGAATGGTACTAACAGGAGTCACAGATGTAAAAAAGGAGATATCCAAGTTGTGGCCATTTCTACAGATCATTCCACTTATAAATTATCATATTACAGAGCTTTTTTTATACTCCCTCTAAATGTTCTTCTGTTATATGCAACAGAATCCCTAGGATTTCAACTTAGAAAACCTTAGAGAAAGTGGGGCTGGTAAAGTGAATGGAGACTCAACAGTGAGAACTTACTGCAGTTACTAAAATCAGCAGGCTAAATGAATGCAAGCAGGAAATGAGAGTTACTGAAGAACGAAAAGAGCTTTACTTCTTTCAACAGCTTCTCCAAGCCAGGGAACTCACCTGTGGCATTGCCATTATAATTATGATGTCACAGATAAAAGCAGAGTCTCTGAAGGATAAAGATTAGTTTTAGGGGTAGGAGGAAAGACAATATGTAGGGAAGTGCTTCTGCTTGCCCATTTGTTGGTAGAAGAAATGAAGAATGCTTTTAGTTTTAAACATACATTGGACCCCCCTTGCTGATGCACTGTGTCTCATTGCTTCTAAAAAATGTGTGCAATTCTACAGCTATGTTAAAATACAAAAAGAAGGTCCTCACATGTGTGCCCTGGGAGACTGCCAGTTTCCCCAGGGATGGGAGTAAAACAATCAGCTCTACCTGAGACTAGTGCAATCCCAAACTGAGGCTGTATTTTTGCAGTCACGATGACAAACTCCTTCTATTTTAATAGTGAGGTTGTTTTTAGCATTTTTTTGATGATCAAGCATCTTTCCCCTTGAAAGTTCTTACCAGTGATTAAAACACAGGAATGAACACAGGAATGGTCCCAGCATTTCAGAAAGGAAGATCAGTCACACCTGAAGCTGTAGGAATGGGCAAGAGACTTTAGCTTTAAAGAATTCTTAGGACTTTTGTAAATCTGCTGTCCTGGTTTTCAGAGATGCTTGTTTCCTTCAAAGATGTGTTGAGAAATCCTGGTTATGCAGCATTAGACCAGGAAATGTATTTATCATTATCATCATTCTGTTTTTTCTCTTTCTCCTCTGGTCCATAGGATCAGGCAGCTAAAGATAAAGCCATGCAAAGTATGGCTACAATGTCATCTGCCCAGATTATCTCTGCAACAGCCTTCCATAGTAAAATGGCCTTGCCTGGTCTCCCACGACCAGCCTACCCTGCTGTTTCTGGGGTGAGTGAATCAGATACTGGGAGGTGTTGGGCAGAGGAGACTCGAATATTTGAAAAGGTGTTGGGACCTGCTTAGGAACATCCTGGGGACATATCAAAAAGAATGAGGCCAAAAAACACTGTCTTTGTAGAGCAAATCTGTCATATGGCTGCAATAGTTTATATCTGATTCTCTGGTCACACTGATGTAAAATAATAGACTTTCACTGTATGCTTTTTCTAAAATGACACAAGCAAGAGAAGAATGAGATCCTTTGAGTTTTCAAATACCTGAAATAGTTTTAGGTTTCTGTATCGCTTTCTCAGTCCAGGATCTTGTTGGATAAAACTGTTTGGGCCATCTTGACCCTTTCCCTTTCCCCAGTTCACTATTGGAACAGCATGTTCCTGAGTATGTAGATCACAAATTGATGGCCATTATACAAAACCTTTAAGAGAGGAGGCCTGTCAGTGTGCCCTAACCTTGGAGTTGGGCCTGGTGAGCCTTGCTGAACATTGATTTCTGTCAGACTACTCCTGTGAGGTTCTCCTGGGGAAAATGCTGCCCCCAAGAGGGGAGGCATCATTAAGGCTCTGGAGACTTAGGCACAGGATGTATGCATAGTATTTAACATTAAAACCACTATTGGGTCAGTCACTTTGCATGTCACTACTAGCACTGTATAGAAAGAAAGCCGAGACCAGGGATGGAACTAGGAACATAGAAAGGGAAGATATAGCTAATCAGCTCTTTTCAAAGACTGGGAGGTTGCAGTTTTCTTCGAACAGAAGGAAGCCTTGCTTTCATCTCTAGCCTGAGGGTGGTGACTTTTGTCTGTATGTTATTCTCTTGCAGTTTTGGCAAGGAGCTTTGCCAGGCCAAGCTGGATCTTCCCAAGAGTGAGTATTCCTCCCCCTGAGCATATGAAGCAGGTGTTTCTGCTGCTCTCTTTATGCTTCCTGAGGAATACTGTTAGCCAATTCAAGATTTAGGAAATGCTAAGATAATGTAGTCCTTGTTCTCAGACAGATAGATTCCCTGACCATGGATCTGAGTTGAAGGTGAACTGGGAGTCATAAGAGAGCCTTAAATAGATAAAAACATATGCTTTCCTACAGTTCCTTCAACATGGATTACACCCCTTTAAGATGTCCCATGACTCAAGCAACCTAGAGTGGGTTATGTTAGGGAGCTGCTGAATCTGGCAGCCTGGTAGAGGTGAGGCTGCCACATCTCCCTGCCCGCAGGTCCAACCAGTTGCAAGGCTGAGTGTGTATTCCCAATAGGCACACACACAAACATGTATACAATACACATACAAAGACATACAGTCAGCCACACAGATCAACGCAGACAGAAACACTCACCAATCATGCAAACAGAAACAGCACCAATGACTTCATCCTCTTCTCTCTGGCTGATCAGGATGAAGGTCCATAAGGGAAATATACACCTATATGCAATGCAAACCTCTCTAGCAGTTGGGTTTCTTAGACCCTCAGTCTATCCCATAGCTGACCCCTGGATCCCTGGTCTCTCCAGTTGCTAACACCTAGGAATGCAAGTCCCTGAGGCCTGCAGCCCCACTCCAGTAGCTGGCACTGTCCTTCTCGCTAACAGACACAAAAACACATGCACCCCCTATACACACGTGAACACACACTATCGATTCCCCAGTAGCTGGCCTTTGCCACATAGCCCATCCAGTAGCTGGTCCTGGATCCCCCATCTCCCCAGTTGATGGCACCTGAGCATGTGAGCCCCCAGATCTGCAGCCTCACTCCAGTTGCTGATAGCAACCTTCTTACTCACACACACATACACACACATGCATTATGTATTCCTCCATTAACTGGGCTTAGATGTAACAGTCCATCCAATGGCTGGCTCTGGATCCTTGTTCTCCCCAGTTACCTCCCATATAGACAGACAGACAGACAGACAGACACGCACACACGCACACACGCACACACGCACACACGCACACACGCACACACATGCACACACACACCCCTCTCAGCCAAATTCCAGGCCCCACGGTCTCTTCAGCAGTGGACCTGGACCCCCCTGGTCTCTTCAGTAGCCAGCTCCTCCAAGTGCTGGCTCCCAAGCCACTTGACCTACTTGCTGGCTAGTCCAGCTTGCTGTTTGCTAGTGATGACAGAGTGACACACATTCCCTCACTCACTCCAGTTGCTGGCACCACAGAAACATGGGCACTGTGACCTGTGGTCTCCACTCAGTTTAATAAGAAGGCAGGACAGACTGCACTGGTCAGGCACAGGGCATGGCCAGACAAGCTCACCGACCAGCACCCTGTTTACAGGCAACCGGCCCCTCTTATCCCATTATGCCTCTATTTTCCCACATTTGTTCCTTCCCAAAGCACCTCGATCCCTCCCGTATCCCACCTTTGGTTCCTCCCCTAATAAGTCTGGTGCAGTCCCGAACTGCTCTTGCCCTGCATCCCGTAATGTATCCCATGGCCCCTAGGCAGTAACGCTGTGGGTCTGTTGGGTGACCAGGAGAGCTGCTCCTGTTGACTGATCTGGTGGGTTTCACCGCTGAACCCTGGGGCCGATGGCTGTCCTGGGACCGCCCTGGGAGTGGCCGGGGCAGGGCCCTGGCTCTGAGGGGGGTATTGGGGGTCTCTCTGTGCTCCTTTGTGTGCGTGGTGATGAGCCTTTTCTGGGCTGATGGCTCTCCTGTGATGGGCCTGGGAGTAGCTGGGTGAGGGTGTTTCAGGTTCCCACCTGCTGTTGTTCCTCTGCACTCCTTTGTGTGCGTGGAGATAAGCTATTTATCACATAACCTAACAGGATATGGTTCTGTGATCACTTCAAGCCAACTTAAGTACAAGCTGCTGAGAAGGAGTCTTGTTCTTCACCCCAGCTATGTGTTTCTGCTCTCTTCTTGTGCTATTGCTAATGTTTGTGGGGTAGATCAGGGAACAGATCCTGCTAAGCAATCTTGAGGGGAAAGATGGTTAGTAAATGGTCTGGGGCAGTTCTGAGAGGAATGAAAGGTAGATTTTATGCCTTTAGCTTGAAAGTGAATCGGGAAGGATCAATGTGAAAGATTCTTTTACAAGCTCAAAATATCTGCTGCCCTGAGGTCAGATGTTATCTGTTGGTGCAGTTTTTTCCTACAGTGGTGTTAAAATGGGGCTGAGCAGTATTGAGAAGCTAGATTCAATTGTGGGTGTTGAACAGCTCTGAAAATCTGGGCCTTAAAGTCCGTGGGGAGCGCAGCCCAGAAATATACCCACTTGCATGCATTTAAATCCATCCAAATGTGAAAGGAAAAAGTGAATAGATGGATCCTAGTGCCTATGTTGACAGGCTGAATAAGCTTTTCCAAATAAAAAGTCTGCAAGGAGATCTTGTTGTATATCTGCAGGGGAGACTTATTCAGTCCAACCTAGGCTGTTTTTGTTTCTTGAGTTCTCCTGACCCTCTCTTGCCCCCACGAATGTACTTTCCCAAAGCCACTTACGCTGATAAGTGCATCAGGAGAAATACTTAATCTAATTTGCACAGTTGGCCAAGATTCTTTTTCTCTTCTTTGTTTTTTGTTATTATTAACCATCTCTCTGTGTATTTCTGTAGTGTGAAACCTTTTTCTCAACAACCCTATGCTGTGCAACCTCCACTTCCATTACCAGGTAGGTAAGGAAATACATTTCCTTGCATTGAAATTATATTCTACCTTGAAAAATAGCCAATGCTTTAAAAAAGGTTACAATTAAAAACAGCTAATTAATAAAAAGATTAGGCTTATTGAAACATTTTAATGAACTCTAAATTTATATATGATTTCCCCTTATCATTGGCTCCCATTGTTTTACTGAGAGCTGAACAATTTTAATTTTGCCTTATTTTGAAAAACATTTTTTCCTGTTTTTCAGTTGGTTGGTTTTAAGATTTCTTTTCTCCTTGGCTCAGCAGAAAATACAGGTTCACATATATCTACTGTCCTTCTACCATGCTGCATTTGCTGGAACGCATTGTTCCCCATCATAACACTATTGCCTTTTCAGTGCCTGGTTAAGTGGGGCTTTTCCTTCTGAATTCCCCTATTCTGAGAGGCTAATGGTGATGTTACTGGTGATGCATCATTCTTTGTGATACCTAAGGACTCAGTCCAGCTCATCTTAAAGTTGGTGAAAGTGTTTTCCCTGGTTTCAGAATCAGCTAGATTGGCTTTTACATCATACCAGCCCTGTCTTAGCTGAAGATAACTGACCAGCCGTTCAGAGAGCAGGTGGAGTGAGGAGCCTATGAATGTCATTTTTGCATGAAGACTGAAATCAGAATAAAATCTAATTAGTCAGCTTTGACAACAGGTGCTTTACTGGAAAGCTGTTATCAATTTGTCTCTTTCTAAATTTTGTTATATAAATCCTGTGTGCTTAGGGTTTGAGCCTCCTGCTGGTCTCTCACCTTCCCCATCAGCACCAGCTTGGCAAGGACGAAGGGTTGCTAGCTCCAAACTTTGGATGTTAGAATTCTCTGCGTTCTTGGAACAACAACAAGACCAAGACACAGTAAGATACACACCTGATTCCCACCCTTCATTTATTTTTGGTCTCCAGGTAGCTTCTGTTCATCATGGATGTGTTATGCGCTACTATGTATGTGAGGAAATACTTCATTGATCTACTGAGAATAGAAAGGCATCTTTGGGAAACACAGAATCTATTTAAAACAGATCCTCCACTTAGAGGACAGAATTGCTTAAAAGCAACATAGCAAGCTCTGTGTTATCTGTTTCTGGCCTCCCCTTCCAGTATCATGGTTGTTTCTATATGTGTACTAGAGCTCAAGGCACTGAGGTCATAAAACAATTGTACAGCCTCTGCAGGGCTTCTTTCCCTTTGAGGACAGACCCAGAATCAGGGGGTGGTAAGATCACATGAAGCCTCATGTCATCTCTCTGGTGTGTTGAGAAGAACCGAAATTTATTTGGGGGCAACTGGGATGAATTTGCATCATTGTGTTTCCATGATGCCACCTATAAAATGAGAGTAATAAGATCTGCCTGTCTCTTGAAAGCCTTATGACGCTGCATCTTCAGGCATACATTGGTGCTAGGCCAATTATGTTTCCTGTCTCTAAGACAGGAAAACTGCTGTTCAGAAATGAATTTGGTGCCAGTATTTGGCTGGCGCGCTGCTGTGGGATTTCAGGCAGCACTTCACAGGACAGGAAGCTTTGATGCTTGTTGGCTGAATGACCTGTGACAGGTAACATTCTGCATCTCAGGGTATTTCTGATCTTAGAACAGCAGCATGAGGCAATGGTTTAGGAGTGAACACAGAAAAAAAGCAATGTTTCAGACAAAGCAAGAAGTATGGGTGTACTGATAGGAAAGAAATAACTGAGCTGGTATTAGCTGAGATATTTGCACTAATACCTCCGTTCTCTTAGAAAGTGATATCAAATCTTCAGTGACATCAAGTAGTCAGGCCTTACCCCTCACTTCTAGATAAAAATGACAGAGCATCTGTTGTCACAGTTCTGGAGTGTTAGTTCAGTGCTTGCTTGGGGTGGGGGCACAAAGCTTTCTGTGTAATCACTTGTACCATTTTCTGCAGCACACCCTTTTGTGTACTGTTCACACTCCCCGCATGAATTGATAAGTGAACTGCACGCTTCCTGGGCTTGAAGTTCTTTTTAAATGGTCTGACCCTGTCCAGAGCTCTTTGGATTTCTGTGGTGAGATGGACTCAACCAGTTTGCTAAAGTGTCAGCTTTTCTTCTCTGAAGAACTATGAGTGTTCAGTAAGTATTGAACAATTTGCTAATTCCATGTTTTTCCTCTCCTTGCAGTATAACAAACACCTGTTTGTGCACATTGGGCAGTCAAGCCCCAGCTACAATGACCCCTACCTCGAGGCAGTGGATATCCGGCAGATCTATGACAAGTTCCCTGAGAAAAAAGGGGGCCTGAAGGAGCTCTTTGAAAGGGGGCCAGCTAATGCCTTCTTCCTTGTCAAATTCTGGGTAAGGGAAGGACCCTTTGCGGGGTACCCATTTACTGTGAAGTTCTCACTGTAAAAGAGGTGGCCTCAGTAGCTGTTAAAGACTAACAAAGATCTATCAAATTTTTGCCATGCAGGAGACTGTTCATACAGCGACTGTCACCTGGGATCTTTACTTGATTGCAAAAGGCCCTCATTCTGGCCTGGAGCAAGACAGATCGTTCATGTCTTCTGTACAGTTCTTCTTGACTAGTGCTTGGGGGGTTTATTTGCCAATGGTGACTTGGGCCCTTTGAAATTTTTATTTATCTGTTAAGAGAAGAATTCAGAGGAAATTATTCTCCTTTGCACACTCATATATGTGTTCACTTTCCTCAGTGTTGAGTAACTTAGTCAGAGGCAGCATTTTTCCATCTCTTCTCCTAGCTAATTAGCTGCATGTTGTGTTATCCAAGTACCAATAATTTGTAAACGTGCATTACTGCAGGCACAAGGACAGAGAAAAGATAGGAGACACATGAAATTGTATTATGCTGATAATATATTACCGAAATGACTTCTGGTAAATTGGCAGAAATCAGCCTGGCAAAAATCTACTCACTCAGTTGGCCTGGATAATATTTTCATGACCTAGCTGAGATTTGCAAAACATGTGCCATTATGCTTCAGGGTACAAGCAAAATACTTTTGGTTATAGATATTATCATAGGTATTACAAGATTAAAAATAATAGCAGCTTGGGGCAGTGGCAGGCTAGATGGTTGAGGGAACGTGTAATGGGATATGAAGCCTTTCACCTTGAGTTTACCACTTACCTACTCCAGGTCCGGAGTGAGATGATGAGAAATGAGCTTCTGTAGCTCAAACTCTTCATTCAAACTGGCACTAGAAAGTCACTTATCTGGTGCCTTCAGGAGAAAGAAGAGGTAATTAAAGTGCATTGAGATGCAGCTTCCCAGCTGTATCAAGCCTAGCCTTTCCAGAACTGAGATGAGGATGTTGGCTGGGAGTCTGTTGCTGAAGTGTCTTGTGCTTAGAGCATTACTTACAGATGATTTTTGGAGGCACATCCTTCTACTACCCCCAGATTCTGTGCTACTGAGCTGGGCGCCTAATGGGATTAGCCTCTGTCAGAATACAACAAAGCCTACTTTGAAGATTGAAACAGGAAATAAAAGACAAGCCCTGTTCCCCTGGGGAAGGGAGAGATTTGGGAGAGAGAGCAGCAGCTTGCTGGGAAGGGTCTGCTATGACGAAAGGCTGCATAATAATTGCCCTGCTAAGAACTAGCTGGGAAAGGAAACAGAAGTCTGGTGAGAAAAAAGAAAGGAAAAAAGCGTAACAGGAGATGGCTTCTAATTATTGAACCTTGGAAAATAAAGTAGGAGCCAAAGCAGGCAGTTGCATCATGCTCTAGGGATGCTAGGAGAGTCCTTGGAAGTTGCTACCTTGGAAGTTCCAGGCATCAAAAGAAAGCGCTTAGAGAGGGGTGCAAACACTTTGGACTCCTTGACTTACGGGGGAAAAAACTGCAATGAATCTGTGATCTTGTGAAACTGTGATCTTATTTATGAAAACTGTTACTGTGTTTTTGAGCCTATGGGGTTAGGTTTGGGTGTTTTGTTTGTTTTTTAATGTGTTACAAGCCACTAAGGCTTGTAACAAGTAAATCATTCAGTTTTGTATTTGTTTCTCAGTGTAGATAATAGCAGGGTAAGAAAGCACCACTAAGAAGATGCCATATTCTGGACCTGAGCACTTTCACCATTTGTGTTGAGTTTCACAAGAGTACTTGCGTTAATCTTGCTGTAAGATTTCAGCTAGGATTTCCAGGACAATATAACAGAGACAGTTTAAAAAAAAACTTTTGCTTGGTTTCCTCCAGAAAATCCAGATTCTTTTTGAAGAAAACTCCAGACCTTTTTATTGGAAAACTTTGAATTCAGCATGCCTCAAATGTTGTGGTAGTGCAGCCTCATGGTTAAACTAAGCACACGAGCCATGCATATAATGCACTGTGCTACTTGTGTCACGGGTTACGTGTAGTGCAACTGCTGCCCACAGGAGGGACCAGATCATATGAAGCAGCAGAAACTGCAAGTTGTGTGTGACATTATGTTAGTATTACCAAATACAGATTTATGGGGCCATGACCAAATGTTTGTTTTAGCCAAATGTTGGCTAAAAGCCTAAAATGATCTTGTTTTCAAAAGTTTGTTTTTGCCAACCCCCTGCCCCCAAAATAGGCAGCTTACACAGATAAGGCCATGTGATCCAAAAATCCATTTTTTTCTGAAAAAAATGATTTCAGCTGAAATTTTTCAGCTGAAACACCTCTCTGTGTTTTTATGCCTCGATGACAGGATATGCTAGGTTTTTTTTTTCCATTTTGTTGTGTGATTACTCTGTGCAGCTATACAAATCTAGTGTTCACGTTCAAAGATGTAGTGGATAAAGCAATTACTACACTATTACTATGATTTGTAGCATCCTTTTAGGATAAAAGTACTAGCTAAAAGCAAATCACTAATGTTTTTAAAATTGGAAGAGTAGAGTTGAAGCTTTTTTTTTTGAAGGTTGATCTTTGAAAAAAATTTTTTTTTAATATGGAGATATAGTTTGATTTTCAGAAGTTCTAAATTGAAGTGGTGGTTACAGGTGTCAGAAACTTACAAAACTCAAGACATTGGTTATGTTGGTTTTGTATTTATGCACTTTAGGTTTGAAGAGTGTGAGGCAAGAACCTGTCCCAACTGCACTCAGCAGTCCAGTGAACATACCAGGTGATCTCTTGTGCGCTAAAAGTCTAGCTTAAAAAGACCATGTTTGCAGATTCTTGACATCATTAATAGCACTTAGGGTCTAGTGTGACATAGAAAGAGTTATTCAGTTTTGTTCAATGGTGTTTTAACTTTAGCTATTGTATAAATAATTTAAAAGTCAGTTATTTTAAAACTTGAGCACTGTTTAGAATTCTTCCTTGATGATTTTGGCTTTGGGAGTCTGTGGTACAATGAACTAACTCCTGGGCTTGGATTGGCAGGTTGTGTATGACATCTCTGTGACATTTCTCCGTGCTCCAAGTGCATCCTAGCACATGACAATGAATGTGAGACATTAGCCTCCCAACACATGAGCAGTGGCAGCTCTGCTCTTTTCCAATGTAACGTTATCTCTACCACCTGTTACTTGGCTCTCCCCATGAACTCCTCCTACATGCATCGTTATTAATAGTTAGGAGAAGAGGGGTTTTCAGGGCTTTGCACATTAGTGGAATAGTGCACTTGCATCTTAAAACTTTCAGAAGTTGTTGTGAGAGACTGGTTGGGAGATGGAAGGAAAATGACAAACCAGGAATTCAAGACAGGCAGTACTTTGTCCAAAGCAGCCATCTCCAGAAGAGTATATCAGGGGAATTGCCTGGGAGAGTTTTTCTACCAGTGGTGAATGCATGTAATAATGTATCCCTCAGTGACAGGCAAGCTAAGGAACCAGTCAAATCACTCAGTGGTTTCTTTCTATTAAATGAATTATACAAGGCAGCAGTTAGCAACAGAGATTTTTATGATCTTTGGACATTTTACTGAGAATGGGTCTGACAGTAGCCCATTAATTTCACCTGCATTCAACAGCACTACCTCCTTGCAGCTGTTCACTTATGCAAGGGAACTCAATGGCACTTGCAAGGGAAGACAGTGGCACTTTCTCACCAAAGGTACTCTCCAGGGTGTTCTGTATAGAGATTATTGGCAGCAGAAAGCATATTGAATTGCTGAGGTGTCTGTCCTCTGGGTGTCAAAATGACACAATCCTGAGGGTCGCAGATACCCTGAGTGTTGTAGGGTCTTTTGCTATCTTTGGCTAGCTCAGATGCTGCGCCTTTCCCCTTTCTTGGTTGCTGAAGCTGCACGAGTTTTGGACCATTCTTCAAGCCAAGAGTTGTTCAGTGTACGCCTTTCCATTGCTACGTGGAACTTGTGTTGACCTGCATGCTTGGCCCATGTACAAGACATCTCCACGGTATGATTTCTCACAGCATTAACTACCATTTGGACACTGATCCAGTCGTCGTTTTTCAAAGCCTCTGATGACTTGAAGCCTAATTCCTATATTTTCCTCTGTAAAGATTTTCTGAGAAATTTTGATTCATAGTCTTGTTCTAGTGGAAATGAGGCTTTTTAGGTAATCATTTGTGAAATTCATTCCCCCCCAAGATTGGACAAAGACCATGGCTTAGTATGGTTAAGGCATAGTGCACAATGTCAACTTTTCTGTTAACCTTCCTTTCTTGGGGTTGCAGAGGTTGAGTGATAAGCTCCTTGGAGCTCATCAGAGCTCCTAAGAAACCCAGACCACCAAGATTTAAAAAAAAAAAAAAAGTAATACTAGCTTGTTCATGGTTACCATGCCCTTCCCTGAACAAATCTCATTTTTCCCATCTAGAAATCTTTTCTGACAAAAATTCTGCCTGCTTGTCTGGAAAGGAAGAGCTCTCACATGTCTCCCCCAAAACAAGCAGATCGGCTCTCTTGCATGCACTCTGTAGATTTCTGAGATGTGCTAAATCTATTTATACAGGTACAGCAGTGACTGTAGTTTCAGCATGTTTGGAATTCATCAGACAAGCTGTGAGACAAGTATGTCATCTGTGCTGGGCTTGCACAGTAAGTTCAATGCATCCCAGACACACCAGATTACTGCTATGAGCTAGCTGGAGTGTGCACACATGTTTGCATCTGGAGTTTCTTGGACAGAAATGCAAGAGCCCTGACTTTGTAGTAGTATGGTCCAATTAGTAGCTCATGAACCACATCTAGCCTGCAGTCTTCCCTTTCTATTTTCTCTCCTGCCTTTGCCCTTAAGGAGATGGAAACCAGCTGTTTGAGTGCTGGACACCACTCAACTAGCTGAATGCTGCTTCTGCTTCCACTGCAGTCCCACCCTGCTGCTAGCAGTGCCTAAGCAGGAGCCGTGGGGGCAAGACAACTCAGCCCAGTGGCTGGGGGCTTTCCTAAATCCTGG